ACACACACACACTCTCTACTCCCACCCCCTACACACACACAAACACACACACATGTGCGCACACACACACGAATGTGAATCTATGGGATGAATTTGTATTTGCAGATACATTATCGTTTGTTCAATAAGTGTACAATTTGTACACAGTCAGTCAATGTGGCATTTTATAAACTCCTACTTTAGAAATAAAACCAGTCTGACTCCAAATCAAAACACAAACAGACTCTAAACAAGGCCTCACACCTAACATACATTGTCTGACCTAAAATGTCACCTCTTGTCAACACTGATAAAACCTCTCGTTCTCTCAGGCCAGTGACTTGAAAGGTATTCAGGATTTACGTATACATTAAAGATTAAAGATTTAGCACCATCTTCGGTTTGTTCAATACATCCTCATCAGTGGTATGACCCTTTGATCTTTTACTTATAAATTCTGTGTCTGATTCCACCTCTCTCACTAAAACCTGAAGAAGGAGCAGCCTATGAAAGCTTGTGTTTTCAAATAAACCTGTTAGACTATAACCTGGTGTCGCGTGATTTCTGAGCTCTCACCTCAAAGCCTACCTCTGCAGTTAGATATAGAGTAAAGCTCTCCCTACACTGTCACCCATCAAACACTCCCAGGACAGGGGCAGCACAGGGTTAAATACAGAGTAAAGTTCCCGCTACACTATCCCCCATCAAACGCTCCTAGAATAGGGACAGCACGGAGTTGGATACAGAGTAAAGCTCCCTCTACATTGTCCGCCATCAAACATTCCCAGCTCAGGGACAGTATGTAATCCAGGAGTAGCCGTGGTTGTGCCCAGGGGAAGAGAGGAAGTCGGCAAGTGTGAGGCTGCGGTGAGGCTGGTTCGGTGTCTCTGGGGGTGAGACATTAGGGATGTTGCTTCAAGTCTGACCCAGGCCTGGCCTGAGTGATGAAGCTGCCAATCAGTGTAAAATGAAAAGGAAATCACTGAGGCGCACAAATATTCAGGTCAAACATTCACTCCAAACACAGGGCTGCTGCTCAAACATCGCACCTGCAGTCACCACCTTGTCAAAGCTCGCCCCCTATTCAACTACGGTGGGCTTCAGATTATGGTCCCTTCCTGTCCCCACTCGAGGTAAACACGTCCTGCATTCCCAGCATGTCAATGGGAGGGGAGGGGGGGTGTCACTGGACAACGCTGAGGAACAACGTCCCTGATGCATACCTCAATCGTTCCATCACCCAGAGGGAACCAACATCGGCTGATCCAACACAGGGACAACACTGATCGTCATAAAACCAGAGCTAAAGCATTGTGTGTTTCAGATCATTTCATACTTTCAGACACTGAGTCACAATAATGGAAACTCGAGTTCCACCAGAGACACATGACATTCACAGTGCGGTGCTGAGGGAGTGGGCACTGTCAGAGGGTCAGCGCTGAGGGAGCGCCGCACCGTCGGAGGGTCAGCGCTG